CTCCACTCTTTCTTCCCCGTGAAGACGTTCTTTGCAACTAGCTTTGATTTGTACAAGACACGGAGTTGCAGAGATGGGCAGGAGGTATGATAAGGGTTCCAGTCCTTCCAGTCCGGCTTCCAGGCTGAGGTTGACAGCAGCTTGTCCACTGGGGTATTCTGATATAGAGTCCCAGATGGCCAAAGGCATATGGGCCAAGGGGGGTGATTAAAGGGCCAAAGCATGGTTCCCCTTCCAGACCTGAACTGTTAAGTCAACATGCAGTGCATCCGAGTAAAGAGCCAGAATAGATCCCCAAGAGAGCAAGCCAGACTTTCAGCGTGAATATCTGTGATAGGACGGCCTTGCTAATAAACTGCCTAAGAGAGAAAAATAAACTAGCTCAAAGTCTCTAAGATTAACCACAGGGACCTTAACTCGCTCTCTTTAAGATTAATCACATGGGTCTTAACTCTCTGTCTTTGCAAATTAACAGGAGATTGTTTTTACAGCATTTGAAAAGAGCTGAGCAGCCAGAAAGGAAGTGTAAATCCTCCCCCTCTACGTTTGCCAGACCAGTCACCAGACTGCATTGTCACGCCAGGCCCCAGGAGAGGAAGGGGAAAAACGAACACGCTGACGTCTCACAGCTGTCTCCTGCTAATCGGTCTACAGCCATCGATTTGTCTTTACCCCTTTACAACTCAAGCCACTTGTCCTCCATCCAGCACCCTTCTTTTCTTTCACTTGCATGCTGTGTCCTCCCATTTTCTCTGGGGAAAAGTAAAATAAACCTCTTACTTCTTTCCATCCTGATTTTTGTGTTGAGAATCTTTCTCCACCTGTGCCGTGAGCTCCCATCCTAACGATCTTCACATATTTAAAAACAAATGTTGTCAGTCAAGAGGGGAAATCAGTCACTGAAGCATAGGAAAAAAAGCTTGATGCCATTAAACATTTCAGTAACAAAAAATAGTTCCGAGCCCCACCCAGATTCTGGGCTGGGCATGACTCCATCTACGATATGCACCGCCCAAATGAAACATAATGCAAACATAAATTTGAGCCACATGAGTCCTTTAAAATTTTCTGGTATCCACATTTAAAAAAGTGAAAAAAATGGTGTACTTAATTTTTATATTTTACTTAACTAAATAAATATATCTGAAATATCAAATGTTATTTTGATGTATAACCAATATAAAATTACTAATGGCATATTTTACATTTTGGGGTCTTATGTCTTTGAAATCTGGTGTGTAATTTACACTTACAGCACATCTCAATTTGGGCTAACCACATTTCAAGGCTCAATAGTCACCTGTCATTAGAGCTACCATATTGGACAGGACAAATCTAAGAATCTGTTTGTTTTATATAGTTTTCCTACATAGGCAGAGAATTTTCTGGGAAATATGCTATCAGTATATGGCCCTTTGAAAGTTATACCTAATTGTTATTGTAAAAGAATAAATTGGCCGTTGGGGATTTTGTACATCAGGCTTCTGTGTGTTTGGTTAGTGGGGGTCAGTACTCTGCTCATGCACTCTGGGATACTTACAGGACCTGGTTCTTCATCACGTCAGGCTGGGAGCTAGATGTCTGACTGTGGTGAATTCCCACAGGAATCCCTCTCCTTTTGTGGCCAGCTGGCCTTCCCCAGGTGACTGCCCTCCCCTACCACTGCTGTGTACTCTGAGCTCCCATAGTCCTCAGGGCCTTACGGTGCTGTGCCTCTCAGTTCGTCTAACACTTTTTGGGTAGACATTACGGCCTCCCATCCAGGCAATTATGAATTACTGTGAATGAAGATTTCTTTAGCATTAATGCTAAGAGTATTGACTTACTCACTTAAAAAGCTAGGCATTTTCTAACTTCGGTGCCTAGTCTGGGCAGAGCATTTGGGTTTGCCTGGTCAATGTGTCAGAGAACAAGAGTTGCCCCATGTCTTCCTATGCTCAACCTGAAACAGTCCCTAAACTCTAAAGTGACTATTAAAGAGAGAAAGTAAAGTAAAAGAAGAAAAACCTTGTGAACAAAAATAAAATCTTAAGGGCACCGGCTTGCCGAATGGACCCGCTTTTGGCCACAAGGTGGCCCCAGAAATATGCTAAAGCTGAGTTGCCCAGAGAAGGGAAGTCAGACCCGGCTCCTCACGCCCCCTCCCTTGTTGGAGATTTCAGGCCTAAAGTGTTAACGTGTTAACAGGCCTAAAGCTGTGCAAGGCAGAGCTTAAACCACACCTGCAGGTATTCAATTTACTTAGCAGATCACTCTAGTCCTTACCTTAACTTAAACCATTCCAAGCCTTTAGACAAAGCTTCATTTCTCTAGCTAATTACAAATCAAAGAATCTTTAAACCCACCTATCACCCGTAATGCCCCACTTCTAGATGTCCTGCCTTTTCAGGCCAAAACAAAGTAGGCCTTCCATGTGTTGATTTGTGACTTTACCTGTAACCCCTGTCTCCCTGAAATGTATAAAACCAAACCAAGAATGGAAAAAAAAACACTACATGTACTCACTATTAAATTGGGAGTAACTGATGGGCACACACGTGCACAGAGGGAAGTAAAGCTCAGTGGAAATCAATAGGGCTCGGGGGGAGGAGGGGAGGGAGAAAAATCTACCTAATGGGTACAATGAACACTGTTTGGGTGACGAGCACACCTATAGCTGGGACTCAAGCATTACAAAAGCGACCCATGTAACCTAAAACATTTGTACCCCCTTAATACCTTGAAATAAAAAAACAAACTGTAACCCAACCGTGGTGAGACTGCTTGCTCAAGGCTTCTTGGGCATGGCTCTCTGGGCTGTGGCCGCACATATTTGATTCAGAATAAACCTCTTTAAATTATTTTATGGAGTATGGGTTCTTTTTCGTTGACAACCTCAAGCAGAATTTCCTCTTTCCTCCCTGCCCCTGCCGGGTAAGCTGGTCAGCAAAGCCAAGCACGTCTTCCCCAGGTTCCCGGGGGAAGCCTGGAGCTGAAGTTCCTCACTGCTCCTTTGAACGGACCCTGCCGGACGCGGGCCTCCACCCCTTGCTCGTGGGCTGGACCATCCTGCGAGCCCCTCCTGACCAAGCCCCCCCTTCGGCTGTCCCCTCTCCTAGTCCCATCTCTGGCCAGCTCAGCTTCACCCCTTCCCTCGTCTTTGAAATGCGCCCTTCTCTGGACTCTGCTCCACCTCCTTTGCACTTTGCTTTGGCCACAAATAACCTCTGTCCAGCATTTTATTATACCCACTTGCCTTTGTGCTGTGCTTCACAAGCTTGACTCGTCCCAAGAAGGACCCGGCTGCTGGTTACAATTATGGATTCCCAGGCCCCATCTGCAGAGGCTGTAGGACAGGAGGGTGGAGATGGGAACATGAATTGTGATCAAACCTCCAGAGAGTCGGATGACCAGGCCAGCATGGGGGACTGTCCTCATGAGACTGGATTTTGACAGGACAGCCGATTTCAATGGAGATCGCGCTCTGTCCTCCAGTTCACAGAGGGACCAGGAGAAAAAGGTCCCTGCTGCTTCTGGGTCATTGTTCTGTCACCTGTTGGAAGTTCACCCTATTGTTCTTGCTTGCCTGGGTGGACCTTTTGCTCCAGCCAAAGCAAGTCGACTCCTGGAATGGGCTTTGGGCTCCTCTGCTCTGCGCCTCTAGAAGCCTCTCCCCCTGTGGCCCCCTGCTGCAACCCTATCCTTCCTCCAGGAGCCCCACGATGCCCTTTTGCTTGGGCCCTTTCCTTATTCCACATATAGCATTTATTTCTCCTTTCTTCTCTAGCATCTCTGTGTGTGGCACTTAATTAATTCCACTCTGCATTACGATGCCACAAGACTATCCTTCGGGAGGAGAGGGCTCCCCTTCCCGTCTCCTTGCACCCGCCAGCATGCAGTGCCAAGACTCGCCCAAGGAGCTCATCAATCTCCACTGCTTGGACCAGACGCAAAGGAAAGAGAAACGCCATCCCCCCCACGCTTCATCTCTGCCCAGGCACGCGCTGTGATGCGTGACACAGAACCGCGGTGAAGGCTCTCGGAAGAAAAATGAGCGAATGAATCGGAAGTCGAACGGGTAACTGGGCTGCACCGTTGCATGGATTCCACACTGTGAGCGCGGCAAACCTACGTGGATGTCACTAGCAAGTCCCTGCGCGCCACAGTCAGGGGCTGCACAGCAGGATGGGCAAAGCCCTTGCTGACTTTTGAGATTGCTCTGTGGAATTTTGTATTTCATTTGATTACAAGCTGGCACAGATTTTGCAAACATTTCCAAACACCGTCGGTCTTCAATGTCCCCTTCCTGCCTCTCCTTCCTTCTTATCCCCCCACCACCCCCATACTGGGGTGGGGATAGGGGAGAAAGGAAATTAAGAGATTAAACCAAAAAAGCCCCACTGACCTAGGTTTTGCAATCTGTTTCACAGTCTCTGTGCGACTACACGTGAAAAAAGCCACATTGTTTTCGCTATGCGTACGTGACCCTTGTGTAACCCCAAGAGCCAGACACGAAGGCACCAGCATGTTCCACACCTGGACTCCCAGGGCTTGTCTGAGCGCTCACTGTCGGCTACAAAACCGGGTTCTCACTTACCTTCTGCGGGTACTACGATTCTTTTAGTAAACACACCGGCGCAAACTGACGGCAGTCGGTTTCCTCACTCCTAAAGGCAGCAAAAGCTCCCGTTTACCTGTCATCCAGGTGAACCGTAAGAAGAGGCTCTGTGCAAGGCGCTCACATCACCTGGTGACTAATGTAAACTTACTTAAGTCACTGGTAGTAGAAACAGCAGACCCTTTCCTTGCTGAAATCGTCAGAGATTGTACAATATCTTGGTGTTTTCAGACAACCCCATGGCCAGACGTAGTTTCTGGGGAGTAAGACCTTTTTGAGCATTTAGGATACTGGAGGACAACTGCTCTCAGCTCCCAGGTCCCCTGGTGTTCCCCCGTCCCCATCGGGGTCCAGCAGTGTCCTACGGCAATGTCCTTCCCCGTCTCCCCAAGACCTCGATCACCTTTAAGCCGAGGTCCAGCTGCCTCAGTGAGCGCTGAATCTCTCTGGTGAGGACGTTCATCCGCGCGCACTCCTGCAAGGCAACCACGACGTAGGGGGTGCGCTCCTCCGCTCTGGCCGTCAGCTCTGGCATGTTAAACTCGTCTGTCACCCGCTCCAGTATTTCTTCCAGCACGGCCTTGACCTGCCCACAGCAGGAAACGCAGGGTTAAGGAGGGGCTCTCTTCCCCAGAAGCGCTCCATCCTTCTGCAGGGTGGGGCTGGAGATGCTCCTCACCATCTGCCCCCAGCCCCGCTGCCCACACCGCCTGGCCGTCCTCTTGCCTGCTTGCCTGGGGCAGCGAGGTCAGGGTTAGGACTGCCTGCAGGACGACCTCTCCCTGTGACTTGTGCGGCCAGCTTAACGAGACGCACATAGTTTCCTCTCTAAGAACTGGGAGCCGAAACACTCCAAGGCTGACCCAGGTAGCTATGGGAATCAGCCGGGAAGACAGCCCTTGCGGGCCTTGTGCAGTTGGAGCGGTGAGCCCCAGTGACGGACATGTCTGTTTCCATCTATATCCGTCCCTGTATCCGTCTATCCACACACACCAGTTCTGAGTTTCTATGAGGCAATAGTGTGGTTTTTATCTTTCAGTTCTGGAAGAAGCGCACCCATCTATCTTGTAAACCTCCTCTTCCACCCCACGATGCCTTTGCCCACACAACCCAGCCGCTAATTAGACCAGGGGAGCTGCAACAACCACGGTCTCTGTCCTGGAAAATTGGAATTGCGGCTCAGAGATTCTGAGTCAATTCAGGGCAAGCACTTGGGGGCTGAGCCTGCCATTTTGGAGTAAATGAGTAAGCCCAGGAGGTCTGTCAGCAGGGAAAGAAAAATGAAACAAATGCAGATATGATAGAGCATGTGGCCAGCAGACTGGGGCGGCGGGGAGGGGAGGCACTGAGCACCAGCCCTTTCCAGCATCCTGGGAGCTGACCTCTGCTGTTTTTGTCTGTCGCCACCTCTCCCCCCTTCTAGGAACAGGTCCCTATCTCCTCACGAAATCACCCCTTCCCCACTGTTTTGGGGGATAGTCAATAGGCCCAGCCTCCCCGGACCCAAGTTAAGCCAATCAGACTTTCTTTCCCAGGAGTACAAAAAACTGAATCTCATGCCTGGAATCCAGGGAGCCCCACGCAGGGCAGAGCTGCCCGGAAAGGACAGTCCACGCTTCTTCCTCCCTGGGACTGCAGAGACACTGTGGTGTTTGTCCTTTCTTAGGTTGACGCCTTTGATTTGGTGAGCTATTTCTTGCCTACTTCAGCTAAATGGGTGTCTATTGCTTGCAACCAAAGCGCCTTGACCGAGTTAGTACAATTCTGCGATGCGTTACCCGAGTGAACATGAGCAAGTCACTTAGGCCTCGATTTTCTCAATTGTAAAAATCTGCAAGAGTGTCTTTCTCCTCCTGCTCCCTCTTCCCCAACTCCCAGGTTGATGCAAAGATCAAATCAAATGAGCTGATGAGCGTGGTGGTGTCTGAAAGCTGTAAAGAACTACATAAGGGTGAAGGATGATAAATATTCACCCTGCCTGGTATTGTTAACATACAATACATTCTCTAGGGAAAGGGCTGATGTTAGAAAAAAACACTAAAAACCCATTGCCCTGTCACAAATGGGTCTTTGGTGCTGTTCTAGCAAAAACTGGAATGGAATTTTAATGGCACCTGTGAGCTGCTGCTGGGGTAGAAGACAAATGGCTAAAATTATAGCATATTTCTGTCTCTGGACCAGAATTTGAAGAAACAGTCCTGTATCAGTGAGCTTCCATTTGGACATTATTCACAAGGAGATGAAAAGACAGTTTGGGGGTATTGTTCCAAAATACACGGGATGTGGGGGTGCCCCGTTCCATTCTGTCTCTGATCTGACTGCGGAGGGTTTGAGGCCGGCAGGGAGAGGGCTGACAGGAAGCGGCAGGTCCACAGACATACACAGGACCTTTCGCTTGGGGAACCCAGAGGCCCCTTTAGATGGGAGCAGTGGGTTCCCAGGGATGTGGTCCACTCGATTTCCATAGGCAAACACCTCTGATTTTTTTTTCTTTTTGGAAAAGTTATAGATGCTTACCAGAAAAATCCAAACATTCCAGATACATAAGATATTAGAAGCAAAATCTTCCCACAATCTTGACTCTTCCCCCAAAGGGGGAAAAATACTGTTAAACTGTAATATTTTTTGGTTTATATCCCTGCAGATGTCCTTCAGTGCATATGACTCTATCCCTCTAACACCCACCCACCCATCAATTATCCATCCATCATCCACCCATCCATCCATCCACCCATGTATCTCTCATGTCCGTCTCTCATGCCCGCCTTCCTTCTCTCTTTCTCTCGGATCAAGACTTCGTGAGTGTGTGTGGAGTGTGCGCCCTCTCGGTCATTTGTGACTGACAACAAGATGCTCTCTCTGGGCTTTGGTTCTTTGCCCCTCCTCTTGAGCCGCGATATGGGTGGGAAGCACACAGCTCATCGGAACATGTGGGCCATGTGAGAAACACCACCACGGGTGAGAACTGGGACACTACACAGGTGGACGTGCACCCAGTAACCTGTGCACTTGTCCCACAGGGCGCCATGCATGGCAAGTAACTGATCACAGTTCATAGCATTTCTGAAACACACACAAACACACACACACACACACACACACACACACACACACCATTTCTTCAGTTACCTGAGGGAGAGAGTAAGGAAATGATCAGAGTTAGAAGCTTCTTTGAACCTTTTTGGTTCAAAGCATTCAAAATTCTTTTGTACATGTGGGGTCTTGCTAGGTTGCTCAGGCTGGTCTTGAACTCTCGGCCTCAAGTGGTTCTCGCGGCTTGGCCTCCCAAAGTGGTGGGATAACAGGTGCGAGCCACCGCGCCCGGCCTTCTTTGAACCTTGACTGAGGAATCCTAAGTCTATTACTCATAGAGTCCCAGGCTTTTTCATTTTTAGAGTGAGGAATGTTTTTCACTGTGAGTGATTTGTATTCTTCTCTTCATTCCCAAATTATACCTCGTACATCAAATAGTGGAAAAGGCTGAGGAGTGTGATTTAAAGCAGCGTTCTCAAAGTGTGCTCACCTCATCACAATCACTAGGTTGTCAATGCCAGGGCCTGACCCGAGGGCTCGGAATCAGAATTTCAAGCTCTCTAGCTCGTTCTTAGGTGTATTAAAATGTGAGGACTACTTGTGACACTAGTCCATACCTTTAAACAAAAGGTCCAACCCCTTTAGTATCAGTCAGTTTGCTTTCCTATAATCAGTGCCTAGAGCCTAAAAGTTTGGTCACCTCCCAGCCTTCCTAACCCTTATTCTCCCAAGGATGTTTCCTCATAAGCTTAGTGGCATCTCTCGTGACAGGAAGCCAGGCAGTACAGTAGGGCGGATGTGGGCTGGTGGAAGTACATCCCTTGCAAGTTGCATTAGCTTGTCGTGGCTTCACGTTGGTGGCCCATTCCTTTGCTGCCCTCAGCTACCCCCGCAGTAGGAACAAAGCCCCAAATTGCCTTGAGTTGTCCTGAAACCCACACCTCCCCCAGTCTGCCTTGCTATTCCATGGTTCCCCTCCTCTTCCTAAAACTGTAGGAATTCCTGCGCTTAGTAGCACAGGGCGTAACTGTGTGTTCAGAGAGTCCGACTAGAAGTCATTCGCACAGAGAAGGCATGTTCGTTTGAGAGGAGTGTCATCCACGGGGACATCTAGTTGGCAGACTGAGGGTGGAGGTGCCTAGGGGCTGCTCCCCACCCAGCGCTACTAGTTTGCCAAGGATTCGTGAAGTCAGTGTCAAGGTTCCCAAGCCACCATCGGTCAGCCCTGCCCTTTTCACTTTGACAGACAAACTGGATACAAACCGACTGGGGTGGATTGGCAAAGAAAACTGCCAAACCCAGTGTCAGGGACTTCCTAGGATTTTATCAGACGGCTGATGTGGTGACAGGACTGGAGGAGGAGGAGGAGGTGAGGGGCAGGCATCTCCAGGCTGCACGGGCTGCGCCTGTGTACTGTCCGAGCCGTGCACTGCCCATGCGGCCAGTAGGAGAAGGCTGTCTACCTACAGTCCCCGGGTGCCCCGGAAGGACCTCAGGCAGTCCCCACCGTGCACCTTTTCTTCTCTTGTGGCCCCTGCGCCGTCTCCGGCTTGGCTGTCCTGAGGCTGCAGCTCCAGCACGGTGCGGAAGAGCTTTTCCGAGGTCTGGGTCAGGAAGCCAATCTCTGCATTCGGGTGCAGGCCATAGAGGTAGGGCGACTCTGGGGGCAACTGGGCATCGATGTACTGCAAATCAAGGGCGAGCTCAAGTAAAAAGAAACCAAGATGTGTCTCCCGCCTCCCACACTGTCTGGTGCTGTGCGGGGCAGCCGGTGGGCCAGACCAGGCCTCAGGCACCATGGCCCTCAAGGGGACACTGGTCACCCACCGTGCTTGACTTCAGCCTGCCCTGCACCTACTCGTGCACCTGTCAGTGCACGTTATCTGTTTCTGCAGGCCAGGCCAGTTTCCCGAAGCTTCCACATTCATTGTGTCATTCTTTGTTTTTTCTGGGAAGTGTAGACAACTTTATCCGTCTCCATTCCCACCTCTTCCCATGGCTCCCTGACAGACAAAGAGGAAATCTCGTAGTCTTTAAAGGTATGAATCCCGCCCTGGTACTTTCATGTAAGCTCTTCTAGGACCCCATCCCTCTCCCCCTTAAATTCCTTTTTCCCTCCCCTCTGTTTATCTAAATCAGGGATGACAAACCTAAACACACAATGGGGCTGTGCACACAAAATAAACAAGCGAACTGCGCGGTAGGGCGAGCGGGGTGCGCTTGGCTGCACACTGGAGAGTTCATGCCCCTGATCGAAGACATTTGCATGAAAACTTTTTCAAACAGTGCGTCAGCCAAACGACACTTCTCCACGGTCAGTGCCAGTGGCCACAGCCTGCCATGCCTCAAACATCCTCCCCAGCGCGTAAGGCTCGCTTTCTTCTCCAAATGTTTTGAGTATTCCTTCACAATTCTTTTTATGATCATGGGAAAATAGCCCCCAAGTTTAGCTCCTATTATGATTTTTTTTCTAATATGATTTTGATGATTTCTTGGTGTTATTAACATCTAGTCTAAGTAAAACATTGCCCATTCCTCAAAGGCAAATTTACGTGTTTGTCTAATTTTTGTATTTCCTCCAGTACTTACCACACCCCTGGGTTCTTTGTAGATGTCCCATAACAATCTGTTAACTGTCACATTAAAGAGAGGTATTAAGAAAGAACAGCGACCTCAGTCATTTAGAAGTGTGCACATAGTGGATAAGAGAACAGCCCTGCTAGAAGGTTCTCACTTTGCCTGTCACTTGTTGCAATCTCTTGTCAAAGTACCCTGTGGACACTAGGGGGTGCTCTTGCACAATTTTCCTGGCCTTGAAGCCTTTGGTCATGTCCTTAAAAAAATTCCTTGTATTTTTCGTAAAGACTTATTGTTTTTAACTTCTTCACATAGGTCCAGTTTTCCTGGATCAAATGGCTTTTGTGACTTACCTTCTTAAGTTTTATGAATTAAAAAAATTATTTTAAAGCTTATAGTTAATATCCCTATGACCAGTATTTCCCTTGAGCTTGGTATTCAAGAGTGCTTGGCATGTTCAAAAGCCCAGCAATAAAAGCTTTTTTTCCCTCTTTTAAATAATCTTTTAATATATTTTCCATGGCAGGTGAAATAGGCAAGGATGAATACTTTAAAAATAGCTGTGGCAATAGTAACACGAAAAACCAAAGTAATAGTAAGGAAACCTCGTGAGGACACTTTTCTTGGCATACGTGTGTGGTGTGTGCCTGTGTTGATGCAATTGACAGGAACTGGGAGGGGAGAGTGATTTGGCCACAAGATCATGTTTTTCTAAGGATGTTTCAATAACTGGTATAAGCTTCACCAAAAGCTAGCTAACTTCTTACCTAGATTAATAATAGCTTTGTCAATGTCCTGAGTGAAAACAGCCAAATAACTGCCCCAGATGTTATTTGTAGAAAAAACAGCAACAAATAGAATTATCTAAGCAGACGTCAAGAATACAAAGCTCCCCAAAGGCTCAATTTTGTTATTCATCTGGGGCTGGAAATCCTATGTTTTTCAGGTTGAACGGGGCAAGCTTGGGGCAGAGGACCAAACCTGATATAAGCTCAGCTGTCTGAGCCACTGTCCCCGACCTGAGCATGCCGGTTGTGCAGGGAAGGATGTGAGCACCATCACGCCGTCACAAGCAAAGAGCAGAGCCTCACCTGATGGTAACCAGGGTAGTCCAAGTTGCCTGGGAGTGGGAACCCTGGGGCCAGAGTCAGTTCTCCCTCTAACATTTCTGGTTTAACGAATTCCTCCAGATAGGTTCTGCAGAGTCTTCTGTCCCAGTCATCTGTGATGTGGCCTCCGTACATGATCTCACCGAACAGGTAGCGCAAGTCATCGTAGGGGACCTGAGGGACAGGGGAAGGACAGAAAGGGTGACCTCCACACAGGTGTGGGGCTGGCCCGGCGCGTGGGCTGCCAGATGGGACGTTTCTCCAGATTAGGAGCAACATCTTACTGGTCTTCATTCTCCCTCACATAGATGCCTTCCCCTTCCCTGGTCATTAACTGTGACAATCTGCAAAGTCAGACTCTACCTACATTTAGCCCTTTAAATGGGTGAATGTCAAAGGGAGAAAAGTGAGGACCACATTTTTCTTATTTTCTGTTATTCATTATAGGATTAATTAACTGTCTCCTAGGAAAGTTTGGAGTGAACAGCGCGCAAGTTCACTGGGGTGAAACTTTGGGAGGGAAGTCACTTGGGGAAAGCCAGCAAGTGAAGGGACAGTGTGTGGGGGGTGGGCTTCCCGGGACCCACGGGCTGGAGGCAGAAGGCTCTCTCGGGACATCTGGGCCTATTCATTTCCCCACCAGGAAGAGGTGGTGGCCCTGCCAAGGCCATGTTTGGTCCATGAACTAAAATAACCTTGATGGTGTGAAATTCCCTCCGTTGGAAGAGCATCCGCTGTTGATGTAAGTTTTCTTTGAAATGGAGACCTCAGATAGAGAAGAAAGGAGATGGGATTTCTTCTTCAACTTTGGCAAGACCATACCTGTGTGAGGAGCTGTGTGCCCCGAGAGGAGGTCAGCACTTTTGACTAGTTAAATTGGGAACTTACATCAGGTGAGTGTGGGTCTCTTCCCGCTGATCGGCAGCCACCTGACACGCTGCGAGTACACAGGGGTGGTCTGGGGGGCCCTGGGACAAACTCTCATGGGCTGACTCCCACGTGACAGGGGTCACTAGCTTGGTCTCCTGAGCTTCCTTGGCTCTGGCCTCATCGTTGTACTGATCTCAGCCTCGGGCTGGTCCTGGGGTTGGCGCTTCCTCACCCCTCTTGTGCAGAGTGTGACTCTTCCCTGGCGCAGGCTCCCCTCCCTCCGTGTGGTGACACCACATCGTCCTTCTGAGAGGTGGCCCTCCCGACCTCCTCCCGGCTGGTCCGTGGATGTCTGTTTCCTTTACCTTTGCATTGGCTTCCAGGAAGTTGTAGAGAACATTCACGGAGATGGTGAGGTCCCCAGTGTTAAAGGGGTAGCAGCGATTCCACCCCTGGGGCCCAAATTTTCGTCTTTCTGCCACCACCGCGTGAAAGTAACAAAGAGCAAAGAGGATGCTCTTGAACTCCGTCTCCCGGGAACACATCTCCAGAGTGTCCTGAAAGGAAAGCACGGCTTCCGATGCTGACACAGTTTCCCCTACACGGGGCCAGCAAGGGCGGGGTGACGATTGGGGTTCACGCGGGAGAAAGTTACTGTACACCCTAGTCAGGGTTGAGCTACCGTGAGACTACAGCTTGCACTGAGGCTAGGCTTGGGCTCAGGGCTTGAGGGGAACTTGCAGAGGTTTAGAATTTGAGTTTAGGTTTAGATTCACGTTGTAACAGGGTTGGGTTTATGGCTCAAGTCTGAGCATGTAGATGTGCTAATTGGGTTCCCTAGCACAGCGAATAGAGGAGAAGGCCACGGGAATGGTGTGGTTGTCATATTACTTTCACCAAGCACCTCGAGGTGGGTCCAGGGACTCCCACAGCATCACCTCTAAGATCTTCCCTTCCTACAAGGCCTTCCTCGCCCTTCGTGGAAGCTTAGCGGGTGTGGTTACTGCCTATCTGCTGGGGAGCTGCGGAAATGAGCGAGGATGGGAGCTAGAGTCACAGGGACCTGAGGTGTGCTGTGCTCTTCCCCATCCCCGCTGCACCTCCGAACCTCGCAGGGGCGAGTTCCACCAGACACGAGCTGAGGAAACAAGGGTCCCCAGGGGTCCTGGCTGCAGAGCACGACGCCAGGGAAAGGATGTGGTGCATGGGGAGGGGATGAAAGAAGGGACAGAGGGAAGGAAAGAGGATCAGGGGTGGTTCAGAGGCAGGCAATGGAGCTGTGCTTGGCGGGTGTTCGAGGGATGGTGATGATGGTGGGGAGAAGGAAAGCCTGCATTTTTGAAGGGATGGTGGGAAAGGAACCCCTGGACTCTTTGGAATTAAAATAATTTCCTCTGAGTGAGATTTTCTCTGTTCAGGAGAGAGCAAGATGTTGCAGCTGGAGCCCCAGAGAGGCACTCTCAAAGCTCACACAAATTGCCTTGGGTTCAGTCCTGGCATTTCTTCTGGGAATTGGTCTTAGACTTGCTCACATGAATGAGAGCGCCAGAGGAAATAGGACAGAGTGAGCTTCTGCGGCATCTGACTTTTCCATGGAGAACCCATGACAGTCTCTCTCTCTCTCTTTCTCTCTCTGGGAATGTGGGGTACCTATAATGCTTTTGTTGGTGTCATGCTTGCCACAAAGGCATGGATGTGAAAGGTCAGAGGTGGTGCAGAGGACAAGGCCAGTGCCTTGTGTGAGCAAGAATTTCAGAACTGCTTTCTGCATAGAGCTGTTCTCTGCAGACATGCAGGATGCTTCGTTTGTTACTTCTTACCCATTTGAAAAAATCAAGTCCTGCTGAAAAATGCCTTTACGCACAAAGACAAGAAATCATATGTTAAAATGCCAAAACCGGCTGACAGTGGCGCACTGAAACACAAGTCAGAATGAAATACTCATCCCCGAACAGACAGCTTTCAGGGAAGCAGGGATGAAAAAGAGCTCCGTTCTGCAATTTGTCCTTTAAATGGCTGCGACGGGCTCTGAGGGAGCAGGCGAGTGTGGGAAGCTGCCGTCCCGGGGCATGTGTAGGGGAGAACGCGGCGGTTAAAACTCTCACGGACAGCGAATATATTCTTAAGTCCATCACTCTTTCTTAGAACAAGGTGCTGACTGTGGCCATGAATGTTGAAAGAACCAACTGAGGCAGGGACAGAATAACCAGGAAAAGCCATCAGCTCTTGGGATATATTTCCCAGTTACCCGATGACCAACGTCGGACATCAGGCTTGCAAGGAGATAAGCCCAAGAACAGTGGCCCAGGAGGATGCTGAGAAGATGAAGCCAGCTGTGGCCATCGATGGCAATCATCCTACTGGGGCCCAATGGTAGCCGTCAGGAAACAGGGCCCATGTGGCATCTGCTCCTTTCCTCTGACTGTACCCAAGGCCACCGAGGCAGACGAGCTGAGAATGGTGTACCCCCGGAGCCTCTGATAGAGCCAATTCACTGCAGCCTGATGCCTTTTTTGCAACTTTAAATTTTAAAACTGTGGTAAAATAACATAAAACTGATGATCTTCACCATTTTTAAGTGTACAGTTCAGTGGCATTACGTGCACTCACATTATTGTGCAGCCCAATGTCTTTTAAAGGCAGAAATGTCTGCTTGAAACCAGCTACAGCTTCCTATAAAGAAGGCTGTAGATTTAAAACTTAAGAATGCATGTTTTCCCCACCTGGAATATGAAACCCAGAAAATGTAGAATGTTGGCCTCTGGTACAGAGTACCTCGGAGTTTAGTCAAGGCCGATTGGAGGAGGCCTAGAAAGAAGAAAGGGAAGAAGACGCCCTTGGACAAGAGCCTGCCCCACCTTCCACCCCACAGTGGGCGGGTATTTCTTAGCAGAAACTTGAAGCTAAAATATCCTGAGTCTCTTGGTAACATTCACCCATTCTCTGTTCCAGACGACACGTGGGTTTTGGAGTTGGGTTGGGAAGGGGCACGGAAAAGGTGACTGGACATGTTTCGCTTCTCAGATCTTTGTAGAAGCTTCCCTCTCCAAGCTGGGCTACATGAGTCCTACCCTACGAGGATATCGTGCAGTCAGTAAAATCTTCAGAGACTCTGACTGCCACGTGCTCTTCATCTGATTTTAAGTTTAAACCAGGCCCCGAAGGTTTTTGTCGGGCTAGCTGGCACAGCTGTCTGTTGGATGGCTCGTTTCAAGTTACCTAGGTGACCCACCTGGGACTTTAGCACCAGCTCTGTGAAACCAGAGACCCACTGGTGCTGTTAAAAGATGGTTGCAGAGAGGAAAACCTCCCCAACTGCTTCTAGAACCTGCCCCTTGGATTCCGCCAAGGCCTGGTATGGAGGATGAATTTTAAGGTGATCCCCTGGGCCCCCACCCTCCTGATATTCATGCCTTTGTGTACTCCCCTCCCCAGGCAGGTGGAACTCCCAAGGTAGAAGCAACAAGAAATGGGAACTTCCTGAGAAGATGGAAGAGGCCTGAGTTGCAGAGCTTGCTGGTGCAACTTCATGTATGTAGTCAGCCACCATGGGTACAGACTGGCTATAAATAAACACTCCACCACATGAGTCTTAGAATTCCCAGTAGTGGAAATTCCAAGGAACATAGTCGCCTGCATTTGAACCCTACGCTTTGATATTCTGGGTCTCTCTGGAGCGTAGGGTTCTCAAACTTGCCTGTGCATGAGACTCACTTTGAAGCTCATTAAAACACAGATTTCTAGGTGCCAGCCCAGAGTTTCAGATTCGGCAGGTCTCAGGTGGTGCCTGAGAGTTTGCATTTCTAACATGTTCCCAGGTGATGCAGGTGCTGCTGGTCTGCGAGTCACACTTGTAGAGTCTAACGCACAGTTACACCCCAAGTCCAATTCCCAACTGTCTCACACTGGATTATTTGAACCCTTGATACTCAGGATTCATGCAGATGTCAAGCAATATCATCCCCCTGCACCTGAAGATAGTATGCTTAGCTAATCAGTGCAGGACTCAGTATTAGGTTTTCAGTAACGTGGGCTTCTCTATCTTGGAGTGTTAGTTAACAGTAGACTTGGACAAAGTTCTCCCATTCTTCTTGTCAAAGAAAGGGCCTAAGCGTGACCCGCCCCCCCAGGTGTGCCTGGCAATGGAGACTGGGGTTGTCCTGAGTGGGCACCAGCTGGAGGTCATTCACAGAGGGAACACATTTCTCCCTGCTGGCATTGCCCTGCGGCACCCCACTGCCCCTAAGTTGCATGCTCTTCTCCCACCCAGTTTGTGTCTGCTTTTTCACAGGAGGGACACTCTTCTCCCCTCCCTGCCAGGGCAGTACCTGAGTGAAGTTGTCCAGGGCCTTGTGCAGGTTGGCATGCATGCCCGTGGGGGGCTCATTGGTGATCTTAATGGAGTTCTCCAGGATGCCCTGCGGGATGATGTGGCCCTCGGGGGAGGGTGCCGGCTCTGCACTGATGAAGACCCTGAAGTCTGGGTGTCTGTTCTCACTGTGCTCCTCCAGCTTCTTCTCCAGGGTGCCGAGCCACTTGGCCACCAGGTGGATGTTCTGGTGGGAAGGGAAGACCCCCATGTAGGCATCTGCTTAGCTCTGTTAGCAGTAATCAGTTATCAGGAAGGCAGCTAGAGGGGGAGCCTGGTCTTAGCATCAAATAATTTTTTAAAAATCATGATAAGATAGACATAACATAAAATTTACCATCTCAGTCCTTTTTGAACATACAGTTCAATAGCATCACATGCACTCGGGTTATTGTGCAACCCAGTGCTTTTTAATGGCAGAAATGTCTTAAATCACATCACAGAGTCTTGCAATCAAACTCTATCTCTTGATATCCTGAGCTTTTCCAGCTAGTGTTCTTGATTATGCATGTGAATCACTGGAGGGGCTTATTAAAATGCAGATTCCTTTGCCCCCCAACCCCAGAATTTCAGATTTGGCAGGTCTAGATAGAGGCCTGAAAATTTGCATTTCTAACGAATTCCCACAATTTCATAATCTAACATATGGTTAAATCCCAAGTCCAATTCCCTACTACCTGACATTTAGATTGTTTGAACTCTCGATAGTCAAAACTGGGGCCCATGGACCAGCATTGCTGGCATTACCTAGGAGCTAGTTAGAAATGCAGAATCTCAGATCCTACCCAGACTTACCAAATCAGCACATTTTAACGAGATCCTTGGGCAGTAATTCGTATGCACGTTAAAATTTGAAAGGCACTGATTTAAATTCCTTCTAGCTAGCTTTCCTGAGTTGTCTCTCCTCCTCTCCAAACCATTCTGCTAATTGTTGCCAAACTTATCTTCCTAAAACACACTGAGTCAATGCTGTTCAAAGACGACAAAGCCTCTCTTCTCCAATCCCAAATTTCTCTGTCTGGTCTTTGAGCCTTTCTCCTTCTCCCAGATCTGATTCTTATCTGCCAGTTTGTCTACATATTGAACCCTACATTTATTTCTCAGCATTAATTTGCAGAATGCACCTTTCACTTTAGTAAGGATAGTCACTTGGATTCATTGCAATGTGTTTCATTATAGTGGATAGATAAAAGCTCCTTGGTAAATATTTGAGAAAGTAGGCATGCAAAGCCTTAAATACACAGATCAGCACTGAGCACAGTCCTTGGACCACAGCAATTTGGTCTCTGAGTGCTGTTTTCTCTTCTGTAAAAAGAGAAATAATAATAATGTTTGCCATACTTATTTCATAGAGTTGCTGCAAATAACCAAAGGTAGTGGATTTGAAAGGGTTTTGTATATTGCAAAATGTGATGTAAGATCAGTAGTTGTTGAGATGAAAATTTGCTAAATTAAGGAATTCACTTACAATCACTCTATTGGAGCAGAGAGTTTAGTAGGCTACCTAGAGATACAGGGTTCCTGTTAGTTGGCATCGCCAGCAACCCACAAATGAGTAATTTGGCTGCTTCTTCAGGAACTCCAACTTCTGCCACTAGGCAGGGCAGGGCTGGGAGAAAGAACCCCTGTTGTTTGAGGATAGAACCCTGGGGTGGATTCAGAGATCCCCGAGGCTGCCTCCCTGGGTTTATGGGCCAGGATATGGCAGGGCCTGGGAAACGCACCCAACAGCTACTGCAGAAGGAAGGAGGAGGGGAAAAAGTAGCTTTGTTCTTTTGCCCAGGTACTGAGAAGCCAGCTTTCCCAAGAGACAATCCCTAGCTAATCCGGGCCAGGGTCCTCAAGCAGTATTTCCCTAAAATGTGCCATGCGATGTTAACAGATGTTAGGTCCATAACGAAGGTCTGTGTTCAACTAAATTTGGGAGATACTGGATTGAACAAGATTTCTATATGACTAACCTATGAATATATTGAAAATCTTCTTCTTCTTTTTTTTTTAAGATATGGGTCTATCACTCATATCACTCGCTCTAGCACCCAGGCTAGAGTGCAGTGTCTCGATCACAGATCATTGCAACCTCCAACTCCTGGGCTCAAGTGATCCTCCTGCCCCAGTTTGTGGAGTAGCTGGGACCACAGGTGTGAGCCACTGTGCCCGGCTGAAAATCTTCCTGAAAGGGATTTGTGTGTAGGGTTTTCCGAAGTTGAAAGATGAACTTGTTAACGGTTTTTCCTTTTTTCCAGTGAATCTCTCAGGTTTATAGCCTGGGAAATACTGTTCCGTGGGATTCCAGTCCAGTCTGGTTCAGTATACGAGGGAATTCTTAGAACCAGGGTGGCTGGATTCCTAAGAGAGGTATTACAAACCAGCAGGAGTCTTTTGTTTCTGTTAGTATTTTATAGTTTGGACAGATTATATCTATTCAACACTAAAATGCTTCCTTGGGTGGGGGGAGAGGCAGGCACCCAGGTGTTTCATTACAATTTCCCTTGGAAATGCCCAATCATCAGGTATTAAAGAGGGATTTCTTTTTTTTTTGAGACAGAGTCTCACTCTTTTGTCCGGGCTAGAGTGAGTGCCGTGGCATCAGCCTAGCTCACAGCAACCTCAAACTCCTGGGCTCAAGTGATCCTTCTGCCTCAGCCTCCCGAGTAG